CTAAAGATATTCAATTATATAACCAATTCGCAAGAAACAGCGATGACAGGTATTAAATGTCCTGCTCGACTTATTGCTCTATCTCATCAGGTCTATCTCGTCTTCGCAGGTTCCCTGAACTCTATCCAGAAGCATGTCGATTCATAGCCGAGATTTAGATCCGATTCAACTGGTCAAGGCTCTTAGGGTCAGGACAAGGCTCCCGGGGGCCTGACGGTCGTCTTCACCGATCACCTATTATGAAGCAGGGGTTCTGGCTATTGATTGGTCACCATTTCAAGGATTCTTCGCTAACCATGATGTGTCGCCCTTTGCAAGGAGTAGCAGCTGAGTGTATTGAATCTGTGCTATCAGTTCATCAGTAATAAAAGGCCTCCTCCGCCCACCGTCAACTCCTCCCTCGTCGACTTCTTTTCCCAAGGCTTTCCCTCCAGGCACCATTTATAGACGCTCCTATCTAGACATCTAACATGTCGTCACTTAATACTCGAAAGAGGGCCAGATCTGATTCCTCGTCCTCCAAGACTCAATTGTCGAAATCTCCTCCCGAAGACCACCCAGTGGTGCCAGAACAAGACACAGAAAGGCATACACCCACAACGTCGTTCTCGCTTGCGTCTTCCGACCGTCAGGCAGCTCAGGTCTCAGGAGATAACACAGTGGTAGTCAGACAAGGTCTTAGGCTAGGTGCAGAGAGTATGTACTAGTAAGCCAAGAGGCCCCTACGCATGCTAACAGAGAAACCATATAAAGTCAGAAATCGACCAAGCATCGCGGTGCCATCAGCGATTCCCATCTTAGATCTTGATATAGGCGGAGTGAACTCGGTATATTTCATCGACAGCTCTCCTCGATGGATCCTTAAACTTGAAAGCCCTGTATGGTGGAGGCTGCAAGATCTTAGCCCAACTGACTTGACACTCTTCGAGGAGTTTGCCAATCAATATTCCGCCTCTGACTGGAATCATTTTCTCACCGGACCAACAAGGGTTACCAGCTACAGCCCGCCACGTGACTGGCCGGGGGTGCCGCGTGTTCATACCTTCATCGAGATGTCACTTTGGCGTGATGATTGGATGGTCTATGTTGACGCCGATATTGAGATTGGGCCACGTGATTTGCGAGAACTGGCTGTTCGAGATGCTGTTACGACATTTCAATTAGAGGAGCGTCTGGCTTGGCGGGAAATCTTCAGCAGAAAGAGACATTCAAGTGAACGAGAATCAAGATCTTGAATTGAGGTTAGCTTGAGGTATTGAGCTATTGGGTATTAGCTATTACTACTAGTTAAGACTTT